CCGTGGGAGGGCACGGACGCGGAGCAGCTCCCAGCAAAAGCCCATGCCAGGAGCCCAGCGCTGCCCCAGTCACTGTCAAAGAAATCCCAGAGCGTAGAGAGCCTGAAGGCTGAGGTCTGTCCATGGGAGCTCCAACCCCCGGATAAAGCAGCAATCTGCCCTTGGGAGGTGGCTGCAGCTCCCTCTGATCAACCAAAGGCAAAACAGGGTCCAGGGGGGGCTTCGAAGGGGGACAAGCGCATCACGCGCCAGGCAGCGTTAGCCAGCCCAGGGAGATCCCTGGAGAAGGGCAGCAGCGAGCGAGAGGCCGTCTGTCCCTGGGAGAGCCTGGGCACGGAGCAGCCCCCAGAGAAACCCTGTGCCAGGAGCCCAGCAGCGTCCAAGTCACCTTCAAAGAAATCCCAGAGCGTGGAGAGCCTGAAGGCTGAGGTCTGTCCATGGGAGGCTCAGGAGCTCCAACCCACTGATAAAGCAGAAATCTGCCCCTGGGAGGTGGCTGCTCCTCCATCAAGCCAAGAGAAATCAAGAGAGGACAAAGATGGACTCTCCACAGTGAGCAAAATCCTTTCCACAGGTCAGGGTCTCTGCAAAGACATTGGAGACAGCGCGTCTGCAAAGAAGGAGAGAGGAGGCAGAGACCGTGAGTCCATCTGTCCCTGGGAGAGCCTGGGCATGGAGCAGCCCCCCGAAATACCCCGCACTGGGAGCCCAGCGCTGCCCCAGTCGCCGTCAAAGAAATCCCAGAGTGTGGAGAGCCTGAAGGCTGAGGTCTGTCCTTGGGAGCTCCAACCCCCGGATAAAGCAGAAATCTGCCCCTGGGAGGTGGCTGCTCCTCCATCAAGCCAAGAGAAATCAAGAGAGGACAAACATGGACTCTCCACAGTGAGCAAAATCCTTTCTACAGGTCAGGGTCTCCGCAAAGAGATTGGAGACAGCGCGTCTGCAAAGCAGGAGAGAGGAAGCAGAGACCGTGAGTCCATCTGTCCCTGGGAGAGCACAGACACGGAGCAGCCTCCAGCAAAATCCCATGCCGGGAGCCCAGCGCTGCCCAAAGCATTTTCGAGGACATCCCAGAGTGTGGAGAGCCTGAAGGCTGAGGTCTGTCCTTGGGAGGCCCCAGAGCTCCAACCCACTGATAAAGCAGAAATCTGCCCCTGGGAGGTGGCTGCAGCTCTGCCGGAGAAGGGAGCAGCCCTGGGTGAGGCGAGCATCCCGCTGAAGAAAGCGGGTGCCTCCACAGCACCGGAGAAGAGGAGCAGCAAGCGCGAGGCCACCTGCCCTTGGGAGACCCTGGTCACAGAGGAGCCCTCCCTGAACACCGCAATGGGGAAAGAGCTGCCCAAGAAGTCCGACAGCACCGACAGCAGGAAACCTGACATTTGCCCGTGGGAAGCAGCAGAGCCCACCAGCTTGGAGAAGAAAAGCTGCGAACCAGGCGTGCGCCCGCAGGGAGCTGACAGAGCTGCACCCACAGGGAATGTCAGAGCCGGTGGCAGGAGCCAGCACCGTGCCTCCAACATCTCTGCTGAAAAAATCCAAGGGCAGATCTGACGGCAAGGCCGAGCACAAGCCCCTGTGCCGCATCCTGCCAGGTATCCAGCCCCTGCAGGGGCCCGGGGCAGAGCCGCTGCGTCAGGGAGCAAGCACAGCTCCCGCAGCGGGCAGCAGCCCCAGCCCAGGCGTGAGTGTAGCTGAGGTTTGTCCCTGGGAAGCAGAAGAGGGTCCACCAGCACCTGACAAGACCAGCGCAGACCCAAGGAAAACCTCCGAAGTGTGTCCGTGGGAGGTGGAGAGCGTGGGTCCGACCCTCCACGGGCAGGGCAGAGCCAGCGCAAGCCCTCGAGATGGAGGCAAGGCTGTGAGCGAAACCAGACCCAACATCCGCCCCTGGGACCACGAGTAGCTCCCTCCAGCTGGGTGCAGACATGGCTTTCGTGAACAGTAAGCCTCGAGCTGAAGGCTGCTGCCTACCTGCATGGCCTGAGTGGGGACAGAAGTGTTCTCCAAAGCCAACGGCACGGCCACGCTCCCAGCAGGCTCCAGCGGTGGCCATCAGCCAGCCAGGCTTGGGGACCAACACAGCAAGGGGACAGCTAACATCTCCTGCCTCCATCGAAGCACTCAAGCCAGACCACAGCCTACAAACACCACCCACCATCCACCCATGGGTCCCTGGCCCAGCACAGGGTCCACGCAGAGCACCCAAATGCATCAAACCACCCGCAGTGCCAGCCTCGCTCGCTCCCACCAGCACAGAAAATGCAAAGCTGCAGCTTGCCAGCCAGAGACGCTCACCCACAAGCTCTCCAGCGGCTGAACACCCTCCTACCACACCGGCAGATCTGTGCCTCCAGCACGGCGAGGAACGGCCCCCCCGGCAGCCCGAAGGACACAGTCCCGCAGCCTGAGCAAGCTGGAGGTTTGGAGGACCAGGCACCACGCTCTCCCATCCCAAGCCAAGTGAAAACAAGGGACAGTCAAACCAGGGGCAGCAATGATGCGACTGGGGAAGAAAACGGCTTTCCAGAGTACCTGCAGCCCAGCTGATCTCCTCCAGCGCTGCTGCCGCCTCCATTTTAAGCCAGGGTGGTTTCTGCAAGCACCACGAGGACCAGGCAGGTTCTGAAGCCTGGGATAAGGAGCTGTTGCTCCCAGCCAGCCCCATGACACATTTTGCTTCCTTGACACAAAGTCATTTATTTTTAAACGTCCTCTGAAGTCCCGGAGCCAGCCACAGGACTCCCACGCACGCCAAGAAAACCGTTCTGCTGCTTCGGTCCAGCGACGCCAGCCCAGTTCTTGAACTGGGCACTTCGGTGATGCCCACAACCACCACGTCTGCTCCCAGATGCCTTTTTCTGTCACTCAGCCCGGGTGGGACAAAACCGAGCTTCAGGCCACAACGCTGCTCTGCTTTTAGAAACCTCCATCTCCATGAAGGCCGAGATGGGTATTGCCGCTACCAACCTCCTGACCCCCTTCACAGCAGTTCGAATTCTTGCAGCAACTCGGCTGGGAAGGTGCTTGTCTTAACTAACAATTAACTTTTCTAAGCACTTTGTCGTTACTGGTTTCTTCTGCACTCGTACCGTGTGTGTACACTCACCACGTGTGCAAACATGCCCAGGGCTCGCCTTCCCATCACAGGAGAGGATTTTCCCATCAACATTTCCACCGGCAGTAGCAAGCCTCCACTTTTACAGCCCACCTGCAGAAGCGCTGGATGCCTTTTATCACCCCACATTCCTCCTGCTCCCTGTGCTTGCAAGACCCATTCCTCGGGGCAGAGACGCGAAGGGACTCCTGTATGACAGAGCAGGCGCTGCGACCGCGGAGGCTCTGCGAGCTGCACAGCACCAGGCAGCGCTCCGGGGTCTGCCGCGACTCCAGCCCAGCCTCTCGCAGATGCGCAAGGGAAGGGACGCGGCCGTAAGCATGGGGAGAAGCCTCAGGGTCAGGAAGGCAGCAGCTGGGAAAAAACAAAGCCTCCAGTCTGCCCAGATTTGTCCCTCCGCTCCAATTAGATGGAAGCAAATAAAAACAGAGACAGCACAAGCGCAGGTTTCTGTTCTCCCTCTGATCTCCACGCGAGGCGGGGGCTCTGGGCTCGTCCTGCCGTTCCTTCGTCGTTTCCTTCCACTCTCCCTAGGAAGCAGCGCTGCTGCAGCGTGCTGTCCGCGCTCGTCAGCGCTGAACGTCAATCATCCAGTTGTGTAAGTAAGTGTACATACAGAAAATAAAAAGTATTGTCTACAAAGTGCACCCTTAGCGGCTGATTTATGGGGTGTGGGGAAGACACTAAATATGCTCAAGGAAGAGGTACAGCAGAAAGCAGCGAAGCTGTAAAAGAAACCCAGGGACAGAAGTGGTTTAGTTGCAGAGGTTTGAATATTGGCAAAGAAGATGGGGAGCCACGCACTGCTAGACTGGAAGGAAGGGCCATTCTCCCAGAAAAGCCAGCCACTCCACCACAAAACAGACTCTGTCCAGTGGTGCCCAGCGACAGGACAAGGGGCAACGGGCACAAACTGAAGCCGAGGAAGCTCCAGCTGAACCCGAGGAAGAACTTCTTCCCTCTGAGGGTGACAGAGCCCTGGCCCAGGCTGCCCAGGGAGGCTGTGGAGTCTCCTTCTCTGGAGATATTCCAGCCCCGCCTGGACGCGGTGCTGGGCAGCCTGCTCTGGGTGACCCTGCTTGGGCAGGGGGTTGGGCTGGGTGACCCACAGAGGTCCCTGCCAACCCCCACCATGCTGGGATTCTGGGATTCTTTTCACCCAAAGCCAGAGCTGAAGAACCTTGTCAGTAGGTCTTGGTTGAGGAGTCACGTCCGTACCTGCTTGTAAGCCACCTGACTCACACCAGACACAGACCAGGCAGCTCACACTAATTTTTTTTAGCTCCTAGCCCAGCTCACATGTGCTGGAGCACTGAAGCTCTCTTCAGCTCGTGAATGAGGCGTAGGCAGAAGGCTCAATATAGTAGGTTCTTTCAGGAAAGGCAGACAGATTGTGACACCCCTCTCGTTTCCAAAAAGATGAAAGGGATTCCTTTGCTGGCTCCTCTCCTGACAGAGCATAAAGATGATATTCTGCCCTTTCAGAAGAACATCATTCACAAGAAGCACTGAACAATTCTGCAAGCATAAGGCACCAGACCTCTTTCACTGCATATTTTGTAAAATCTCTTTCAAGGAAGAAGAAAAAATGCCCTTAACTCTCAGAAGCTCCGGAAAATGGGTGAATTAAAAAGCAACACAAAGTTGAAAAAGAAAATGCTTTGCTGTTTGATGCCTACTGAATATTTTGCTCTGTGACTAGGAGTAAATGGAACTTACCTGAGCAAAACAGAGCAAGAACAGCTCAGCAGAGTGCACTGGCTTACTCCCAGCCACAGAAAAAGGTAACCTCTGGGTAGGTGTTGTCCCGACCCACACAGCCTGCAAAACCAGGAGACCCGATGCGAATGTCATCGTGTCCACAGGATGGTGCCAGCCACTCACTAACAACGTCCCGCTGCATGGGTGTCTGTAACAAGCACACCAAAACCCATCGGCTAGGAGAAATGCTGCCTTTCAGGAAGGCATTGGTTCACACAAACGCTGACCTTACAAGTCAAAAAATTTTATTAAATTACCAGCACTGTGCTGCAGCCCCCTTGGGAAGCTTGGCCACTAACAAGCACAGACTCCACAAAAGTCCAGCTGCAGCACCCACCCAGGAGAATTCGATTTAAAGTGTGCTTGCTGCTCTTCCCTGTTTTCTGTTAAGAAAAGAAGCCTGGGAATCAGTACAGAGGCAGAGAGGATGGGAAAAGAAAGAGCCAACACCTACTGCTGCAAGTTTTAATGAAAGCCATTAGGTCTATGACACTTCCCATGGAAGTGCCAAACGTCCCACGTCTGGAGAGACTCCTGCTGCCCACGGCTCTCCAGATGAAAGTTCAGGACAGAGGCCAGGCGAGGGCAGTCCTGAAGAGAACAGACTTCTCGTCTTCGCAGAAACACAGAGAGGGTTAAGGTGCAGCACACCAAGTCTACTTGGACAGAGTAAAGCTCTTAGCAGAGCTCATCTGAATCCCCTCCCAGGCCCCTCTAGCTCCTTTAAAGACAACTTTTTAGTGACTGGAGTCCATTTCTGAAGCCGCTTTGTTTGTTGACTGCTCACTGGAAAGGCACAGCCATGCCCAACCCGCTACCCCTGCAGACACTCTCCACTTCTTCCCTCCAGGGCTGTCTGCACTGCTGTCTCTGTACGGGCTCTGGAACCCCCTACTTCGTTTCTTCATACTCTTGTGAGGGATCCAAAGTTGGGCCGGGAATCAGCACCGTCTGAAAAAGCAAGGAGTGAAATCAGCACGGCACAGAGCAGCTCTGAACTGCTGCAACAGGAATTGTTCATGTGACAGAGCATAAGAAGGGCGGGCGGGGGGTTCTGGCAACGCAAAGGCCTCGCACAGGAAGACAACCCGATGGCAGCAGCATGGGGGCGGACGCAGAGCGGGACTGGGATGCCATGCCTTGAACTGTACACAGTACAGAACACTGTAGTTCTCACCTCCCTCCGACCTGTTGGTACTAACACAGGAAGACAGAGCACCTGCATCGCTTTGCCAGGCTACATACACGAAGCAGTAACCCCCTAAACTACCACACACACGTGTCAAACACCATCAGCCTCCTACTACAGCTCCCAGGTGCTAGAGGCTGATAATCCCACATTAATAAATAGGTCTGCTTGCAGATTAATCCACCACCTCCCCATCACGGGAAGCTCAGCTTTGGTTTCGTCCAGAATTAACTGGGGACCTCTGTTTCATGGACACAGGCCGTGCTGGTGGCATTACCTTAACAATGGGGTCCTTTGGTGGAGCCCACTCTGGGACGATCTTGCCGTGCATCCGCCACGTGCCGTACGGGTTGACCAAGTACCTCTCAAACACGACATACTCCAAAACATCCTTGGGCACCTGCTCCCCACCGTACATCAGCCGCCCAAAGCGGTCATAGATTGCCAGAATCTGTAAAAAGAGCCAAGAAACGCGTGCTGGGCTGGCAGCCGGGTGGAGTCAGCTGGGAAACGCAAGGAGCACAAGGGGACGGACCTGTCGCGTGTGCATCCGCACTGTCACCTGGCCGTACAGGTTGCCTCGATTCACGATGCTGTCGCATCGAACTTGAACCACTCGCGGAGGCTCCAGCGACTCCACAAAACTCCACCGGATGGTCTTGTACCTGTTCCCACGGACCATTTCCTACGAAGACAAAAAAGCACCAACTTAATTAGGACGTGAACTGAATGACAAGCAAACTGCTGTATATAACGAAGCATTTATTCATAGCTAACCTGACTGTCTGTCTCATTTTTTCCTGGATACAATAAAGGCAGAGCAGAAGACTAGAAGTCGTGCTTTCCCTCCCTGCTCTGCCTTTATTGTATCCAGGAAAAAATGAGACAGACAGTCAGGTTTAGCGAGCCTTAGAGACCATGGAAGAAATCGAGGACACGCCACAGCCAGATAAACACTCACCGGGTAGCAGCGCTCCGTCACCAGGGAGTGAAGTTTCTGCTTGTTAAAACTGCAAGTGAAACACACCCAGTTACTCAAATACACGTACTGTAAACAGGCTTACTCACAAATTCCTGCTTCCCCAGAAGACACACAATCTACCGGCGAAACAGAAGAAGCGAAATTCTCAGCTGTGATCTCAGCACGAAATGCAAACGTGAGCGCAAGCTGGTTGACAAGACATCAGGGAAAGACACAACATCCTTTGGAAGCCAGTTACGACCTAAATGTTTCATTGATGTTTGGAATTGTAACCAAGAATGGTGCAGTTTGGAAATCTGGTCTATTACTGGAAAGTGGAGCACGCCAGCGGAGTATCATTTCATTTCCAAACAATTCCCTGCAGCGCGATTCTGAACAGCGCCAGCCACCCACTCATCTGCTGATAACAGCAGTGGTGCAACAGCTCATTTCCTTTGCAGGTCAGGTCAAGCTGAATTTACTGCAACCTGCTTTGCACTACCAAAAGCAAGAGAGGGTACTGACCAAATCTCCAACGCTCTACTCTCCACAGAGATGGGGGCAGAAAAAAGATAAAGTATTTGTTGTAAAGGAGGTACAAGGATTAGAAAGACAAAGAAAAAAACAGCGCACATAAGCAAAGAGAAGCAGGTCCTACACAAGCACATCGGTCAGAGAAGGGGTCTTACTTTGCCAGGCAATTGTGAGCTTCAATAAATATCTCCTGCGCCTTCTCTGGGAAGGTTTTAGTGCTGAAATCCAGATCGTGATCTTTTATCTTCCGCAGACTGAAAAGACAAGGAAAGCTCTACAGTGAGTAGAAAACAACTTGGAACCGTCCTGCGTCTTTCAGATGATGGCAGCGACCTTGTCCAGTTCAAGCCCAGCTTTTACCAGGGAGCAACCGAGAACTGGAGACTCCCCACTAAGACATAACCTCTAGGTGCTCGTAAAACACACACAGCACTGCAAAAACGCCTCAAGAAAACGAGTGCACACTGCATCCACTCGCGCCAGGACGGGCGCCTCGCATTCATTCTCACAGCAGGGACTCCTGGCTAAGCGGTACAACAGCAGCAATAGAAGAAGCGGGTAGAAAATAAAACGTGCCATCTCACCACCGCAAGACAGAACCCAGCAAACCTCCAGCACCACAGAGTGACTAAAAAGGAGGTACGTACGCCAGCTGGGAGGCAGCCGTCTGCTTCAGCTTCTCCATCTTTTGCTTCAGCCCATCTTTGGATAGTGAAGTCAAGCGGGCATCGCCCTCAGGAGGGACGTATGGGTCTATAATGTCAGCTGCAGGAGACAGAAGAAAGGTCAGGAGGAGGCTCAAAACCAGCAAAATTAAGGAAACAAGGAGGCAACACCTCGCTGGTGCTGGAGAAGCAGGATTCCGCCCTGATAATGTTTGTAAGCTGAAACACGAGCACGCAGAGAACTGCTAGCCCAGCACAGGTTGTCAGCAGCGACAGGCGCCCGCTCCCTGCTCTCCTCTTCCACACAGCCCAGGGCAGGAGGAGCAGACACATTCAGCAGCAGAGAACGTGACCTCCCTTGCTATTCCTTGTCCCAGGGTACGAAGGGGCCTGACACCCTTCTGCAGGAAAGCAGGGCAGCCGCTATCCCTCCCTGGGAGGCAGAGTGCGTACTGCAGTCTGCTGCAAACACTCCGGGTCAGCAGGGTCACGCTGCTTCGGCTAACCGCCCTGTGCTGCTACTCTGCGCTAGCCTTGCCCCTGAGCAGAGACCAAAGCAGGCTTTCTACCACCTGTGCAGGCCAAGTAGAAGGTCCGTTCTATGCGTTCCTCGGGAAACGCTGTCGCCAGAGACCTGAGCCTCTTCTCCTTCTCTTCTGGGGACACCTCTCTGTCCTCTCTGGGGACAGAAAACCTCCTCTTCCTTCTCAC